CACTGCTTAGCACTGAAAGTGAAACTTATTTCAGAATTAAAGCTGGATTTTACCCTGTGTCAGGTCAGAGAGATCTCCACACCTTCAATCTTTGATCAGTTTATCAAGGGATTGCCTTTGAACAGTGAAACTGAAATGAAGAATGAAATATTAAAGATTAACTCAGGGTGTGGCTCTGCCTTGTTTTTCTTCAAGATTGATGCTGTGCTGTCGGGTTACATTGGGAATGAGGCATTTTTCCCCGGGAAAGCTGTTTCTTCCTTGAAATACTGAGCCAGAAGTATTCCTAGCTGCCCTAATAATTACATGATACTGGGAAGTTTTTGGGGTGATTAGAAATGGAGACATTAAAAGGGAATTCTCCCCATGAAAGAGAGAAGGGAGGAAGGAGGAGGGAAGGTGTTACCCATGGTGGGAGGAGGACCAGGTTTGGGACAAATTTAAACAAATTTGACATAGGTTTTTGTCCATAGATTTCCTCCACAAATGCTGTGCGAGCTGGATGTTACCATTGCAAGGCCATTCTTGATTATCTTTGCAAGGTCATGGTGATTGGGCAAGGTTCCTAAAGAGTGGAAGAGAGCAAATGCTACTCCTAACTTCAAGAAGGGCAAGAGGAAGATCCAGGTAAGTACAGACCAGGCAGCCTCACCGCAGTGCCTGGGAAAGGTGACGGGGAAAATACTCCTGGAAACTGCTTCCAAACACGTAAAGGACATAATGGTGATTGAGAGTTATCAGCGTGGATTTATGAAGGGCAAAACATGCTTGACCAATCTGATAGCCTTCTACAAGGAGGTGACTGGCTTGGTGGATGGTGGGAGAGCAGGGGATGTTGATTATCTGGACTTTATTAGGTTTTTGAGAATGTCTCTAATAACATCCCCATAGGGAAACTGACAAGGTATGGGTTAGATTAGTGGGCCATGAGGTGGATCACTCAGTGAGTTGGAAACTGGCTGAACCACCAGGTTTTGGTAGTGAAAGAGGGGAGGGGAAGGTTGCAGGGCTGAGAAGAGAAGAGGGACTGCCCTGTGCCAGACAAAGAGCCAGATGCAAGGTGCTCTTCGATGGCACAACCACACGTCACAGCTAATCCTGTCAGGAAAGGTGGTGGCCCCTGTGTGAAAGCATATATAAGAAAGGGCAAAACTACTGTCAGGCACTGAGGAGTGAAGGTAAAAAGCATGAGAAATATTGGTGTGAACATCAAGGTCAGAGAAAAAAAGAAAGGCAGAAGGTGCTCCAGGCACTGGAGATTGTATGACCCTGCAAACCATGGAGACGATCACAATGGATAAAGTATTTCCCTGCAACCTGCAGAGAGGGCCACACCAAAGCAGAAATCCACACTGAAGGCCATGGAAGACCCCATGGTGGAGCAGTTGGATATTTCCTGAAGGAACCGTGGCCCATGGAAAAGCCCACCCTGGAGCATATTTATCCTGAAGAGGATGTGGCCCATGAAGACAAACAAAGCCGGAACAGACAAAAAGTGTAAGGAGGAAAGAGCATATGAGAACTGTTATGGGACCCGCCCCCCCAGCTCTTCCCCTTCCCCCTGTGCCACTCATTGGGGGAGACTGTAGTAGGAGTTGGGAATGAGAGAGTGAAGTTGAGCCTGAGAAAGGCAGTGGTGAAGGGCAGGCATTTTAATTTTGTCTTCGTTTTTCCTGACAAACAAACCTATTTTAATTGGCAGTAAATTTTCCCCAAATTGCATCTGTTTTGCCCATGGTGGTAATAGGTAAGTGCCCTCCTTGTCCTTATCTTGACCCATAAGCCTTTTCATTTTCTCCCTGTTTTGTTGAGGAGGGGGAGTGAGAGCAGCTGGGTGAGCATCTGGTGTCTGGCCAAGTTAAACCCACCACTGATACAGGACGGGAAGATGTGACTGCTAAACGAGATGGGTCACGCTGCCATCCAGAGGGACATTGACAGGCTGGAGAAATGGGCTGACAGCAACCTTATGCAGTTAAAAAAGGGAGAGTGAGAAGTCCTGC